TTTGAATTTTTTCGCAATAATATTNCGGAAAATAGATAAATTTTAACACATTTTAATGCAATAAAAATTTTTGGTCGGAGTCCTCCTTTAATTTGAAAAGTTATGAGCTTCTAGAAGCTTCTGGCACTGAAATTTCTGGAATTGGAGCTCCATTTCTGTTGTTTTGAGATTTTGGTAAATTTATTGATCTTGCATCCATACTGACCACATTTCTCTGAAAGGTTTAAATTTCAAATTTTCCCCCAAAAATTTTTAATTGTCTGGAAATTCTGAATTTCCTGAAAATTTGAATTCTAAATTATCCCAGAAGAACTTCTAGAATCTCACCTGAAGTATCTGAAGAGTGAATTGCGATTCATTTGAAGAATGAATTGAAACCTTTGCGACTTCCTGAAATTCGAATTTTAAAATTTTTTGCAAAAAAAAGTCTAGGAAATTTGAAACATTTTGAGCCAAAAATCACTTTTCTAGCATTCCTAGGAGCCGAGATATAGCTATCTGACGATTAGGAGGAAGACAGCGAGACACTCTAACTGTCTGCGTCTCTCGTTTTGCAGAAAAGAGACGCAGACAGTTAGGGTATCTGCGTCTCTAACCTCCCAAACTTCAATACGCTATATCTCGGCTCCTAGAAGAGCTAGAAAAGTGATTTTTAGCTCAAAAATTTCCAAATTTCCTTGAATTTATACTCACCTGACAATTCATAACATGCTCTGCATGATAATGAACAAGCAGGCCGGTGTAACAAACAGATTTGTGTCCACATTCTTTGCAGTACATCGTAGGAATACCAAAATGATTTTTACGCATATGATCTACCAGGTGGTCGTAACTACCGTATTTTTGAGTGCAGAAAAATTCGGGACACTCGAAAACGGTGCTAGTTTTGGCCCAGTGTCTGATGCTATGGAGTCGCATCTGAAGAATTTTTTTTCGAAAAAAAATTTTTAAAAAGAAAACCTACACTATGAAAACTGGAGAGCATTTTTGAGCAATATGGACAAATAGTATGTCGCTGGATAAAATTTTTCTCCTTTTCAAAAATGCCAAGTTGAGAAAAATACGAGTCCAGATCCATTTTATCAAGAAAAATGAAAATAAAAAGATGATAAATTTTTCGGAGAATGATATAAATTTTTCTCTGGGTCTAATCTAATTTTCAATAGTGTACTAAGGCAGGTGACCAATTATAGAGGATTTTATTGACGTAGGTTTGGGTCCACAGGGGAAATGAATAATTAGGTGTATTCGAAAATCGGGAAAATTTCTAAATTTAGAAAAGATGGGAAATTATGGCTCTACTAGTTTTATGAGAAGGGAAAAAAGATAAAATTAAAACTAATTTTTAGAAGTCAACACCGTCATTATCATGCTGAGCACATTATAAATTTTCCAGTGAGTATAAAGTTCGGAAAAGTTGAAAAATGTTGTGCCAGAAACCACTTTTCTAACTATTCTGCAAGTCAAGATACGGTCTTAGGAGGCTAGAGACGCAGGCAACGAGACACTCTATCTGTCTGCATCTCTCAAAATTCTAGTAAAAAGGTCTAGCAAATTTGAAACATTTTGCAACTAAAATCACGTTTCTAGCTATCTTAAGAGCCTAGATATGGCTAATTGTAGTTTAGGAGGCTAGTGATGCAGACAGCAAGACACTCTGATTGCCTGCGTCTCTTCAAAACTTTGAATGACCGTATCTCGGCCTCTAGAATAGCTAGAAAAATGGTTTTTGGCGCAAAATGTTTCAAAATTGCTCGACACTAAAATTTTCAGAGAGGCAGTCATCATGAATGGGAATTCTATGAATTCAGCAGAATATTTAAAAACTCCGATTCAAGGAAATCCAGTTCCAGAAGTTTCTGCTGAGGAGGAGGGAAAAAATGACAAAATCTGTAGTCAAATCTATTTTTTTGAATCGAGATAAGTTCATTCAGGGTTCATGACAAAACTAAGAAATTAATTTATTTCCAAAAAATTAAACTTCTGTAATTTTTACATTTGTTTAAAATTTATAAAAACGAGGAGATCCTCTGAAATTCAATGTATCCGATGACTCGATTTCTGATTGATCCCGCAATTTCCATGTTTCTGGAATATCTATAGCATCTAATTTTGAGAATTCTTCTCTAATTTTTCCAAGGATCTTTTTTGATTCTGAAATTTTGATTTTTTAGAGTTTCTGGACTTTTTTGAGTATTTCCGTCTACCATATAATTATCAATAGAGCATAAAATATTGAATAACTTGTCAGAAACATTAACCAATGTTTTGAGAAGAATGAATAGGAATATTCTGTCTGGAAATGTTTCAGATAACTTTTTGATATTTTCCCAATCTTCATAAACAGATTGATAAGCATAGTAGGTGGATCCGTGGAGGCTAGTTAGTTCTCTCTGCAAATTAATTAAATTTGGAGAAACTTAAAAAACATTATACCTTCAAAACGTCTCTTTCAACTCTTTCTTGAGCTTTTGTAACTTTTTCAAATGGAGAATTTCAGAGTTTTCAATTTTGAAATTGATTCTCTTATGGAATCTAAAAAGTTGGCAAATTTCTTTTCATCCATTTAAATGCATTTCCCATTTTTTTTGGATTAAAAGACATTGGAAGAATGCCAAGTTCATTTTTCTGATCTTTTTTTGGATTAATGTATTTTCGCATAGTCCAGGGAAGACCATATGTTTTCATGGGACTTTACGAAATGAGAAGGTGCTGTAATTCACTGAAAACTGTCTTCACCTCGTCAACATCTACGAGGGATGGTCCTGGAAAGAACACATGTTCTCATGGGACCCAATGAAAATGGCAGGTGGTACTGTAATTATCAGAAAAACTGTCTTCACCTTTTGGATTCGCCCATCAGAATCGGAAGTGATTAACTTAACAAGATTTGTTGGTATACATCTTTCTCAGATGTCTTTTTCGTTTTCTTTTTGACACTTTTGAGCCGTCCTAATTAGTTTTAAATCTTTTGGGTATTGTGTAGCTTTTACTTTGGCTCTTAAAAATATAGTTTCAATTGTCGACTATTTTCAAATTTTCCAATATTTTCAGATTTACCAAAAATCATGTTTGCTCCAGTCAACACCAGCTTCCTTCGAATGTACGACACCATGAAATCACTGTAAGTTTTTTTTGTGTCCTCAATTTGAAAATTTTCTAATTTTGATCTTTACCATTAGTGATTTTCATTCAAAGTCTTCTTAAATTGTATAATTTGATTCATAAGCTTTAAAATTCAAAGTGTTGATTTTAAAGCTAACACTTTTATTTATAAGTCATTAATGACCTAGGAATCCGATGCCGATTTTTGCACCCAGAGGATGGACCAGTCTACCTGAAGGGCGTGGATTTCGAAGAGAAGAAGGAGACACATAGCAAGAAGGTGCAAGCGCTTCATGTGAGATTCTAGACTTTTAAAAAATTACCCTTCGTGGTAACAGAAAATATACAGCTAGAAATGTCAGAAACATTAACCACTGTTTTGAGAAGAATGAATAGGAATATTCTGTCTGGAAATGTTTCAGATAACTTTTTGATATTTTCCCAATCTTCATAAACAGATTGATAAGCATAGTAGGTGGATCCGTGGAGGCTAGTTAGTTCTCTCTGCAAATTAATTAAATTTGGAGAAACTTAAAAAACATTATACCTTCAAAACGTCTCTTTCAACTCTTTCTTGAGCTTTTGTAACTTTTTCAAATGGAGAATTTCAGAGTTTTCAATTTTGAAATTGATTCTCTTATGGAATCTAAAAAGTTGGCAAATTTCTTTTCATCCATTTAAATGCATTTCCCATTTTTTTTGGATTAAAAGACATTGGAAGAATGCCAAGTTCATTTTTCTGATCTCCAAAACCGTCAACTTCGAAACTCCGAGAGGAGTCCAGCAATGAGAATTTCAGAGTTTTGATTGGAAAACCCAAAGTTTATAATTCCGGATCTTCATTGAGAATTTCGAAAATTTATTGATTTTCTCTCGATTTTTTTGTTTGCGAATTTTTGTTTGTGAATCTTTTTTTTTCTTGTTCTCCTGATTGAATTTTTCAGAATTTTAGAATTTCTGAGTTCCTTAATTCCTGAGTTTCTGAAAATTTGAAATGACAAATTTCGCAATAATCATCCATCACTGATATCATCACAAAATGTTCTTATCAATTTTTTGCCGCAGTAAAAACTTTTTTTTTCTTTCTCACTTTTTCCAAAAATCATGTTTTTTGAATACCTAATTCTATTTCTAGCTGTATATTTTCTGTTACCACGAAGGGTAATTTTTTACAAAATAAAAATTTTTAATTTGAATATTTCAAATTTTCAGAGAGAACGAATCCCAAGAAAAAGCTTGAAAGGGCTTGTGAGATTTGTGGTTGAAAAGTTCAAAGATAAAAGTAAGCTTTCAATTTTAAAAAATAAAGTTAACGAAATTTTATTTTCAGAAAATTGCAAATCTGAAAATTTGGCTGAAAACTTGGCTGAAAATTCCCCCTATTGCTGTGATTCATGTATAGAATTGATAAGGAGGTTTGATCGATTTTGTACAATTTTTCAATTGGGAAATTTTGCTATTCCCGTGAGTCATAATTTAAAGAAACTCAGAAATTCAGAAATTCAGAAATTCAGAAATTCAGAAATTCAGAAATTCAGAAATTCAGAAATTCAGAAATTCAGAAATTCAGAAATTCAGAAATTCAGAAATACAGAAATTCAGAAATTCAGAAATTCAGAAATTCAGAAATTCAGAAATTCAGAAATTCAGAAATTCAGAAATTCACAAATTCAGAAATT